TTTCTTCTAGCGCATTGACCCCACAGGTTCTATGTGTTGAAGTGAGGGGGCAATCCAGCTGGTGACAAATTAATTTCCTGAGACCACCTGATTCTGAAGTTGTTACCTGCATTCGTGCCACAATTATAAGACTTGTTCTTCACGTAGACTTTCCTTGTGGTCATTGTCACTATTGTTATTGCATTTTTTGAGATTGGTGGTTTGTGGGGGTCTTATTTACACATCTTGGGCACAAGGTGTTTTTATTATCCGAAGTTGTCTCCCACATATGGGATTGATTGAATCGGAGGTATTTTAGAGGGGCACGTTTTTGTTCCAGTAGTTTATTTGTTTATGAAGGTCACTTGTTGTATAGTCACATCATTATCACTTTAATTTTGGGAATTATTTAGGACCTTTGTGGTCCCACTGATAGCATTTTAGCATGGCATTTGTGCATATAGGTATTTGGGTCACATGTTGATGCCACCTTTTGGGCATCTGGGAGTTCACCTTCATCACTTTTTGGCCTTCCGCTTTCAGGAGGGCTAACAATTATTCATTATTTATTTTGTTTCTATTACTGACCTTTTCACTCGGTCAGCACTCTTCTCACGATATATTTTCATTAGTCTTTATTAGGCACCATTAGATGTAACTTCCAGACATCTAGGAGCACATTTATTATTTATGATATTTAGGGAGGTTTTTTCCACATTTCCATTGAACAGTTTGTCACACTGACCATTTTTCTTGGTCAGTCTGTGGCTTTGTTTTTTTTTTTTTTTTTCTTTTTTCTCTTTGGGTCTTCAGTTTTATATCATTACATACTGTATGTGTGGTTCAATATTTTCACTTGTTTAATTATTATTGAGTGCCACTGTTTAGTTTGATTTATATATATGTGTGAAGTTATAGAATCTCTGGGATAGCGCACACCATTTCTGTTTTATATTCACACTTTTTCTATCTAGGCATATAGTCAGTTTATAGTAGCTCCCCCTTTGTTTGTTGCACAGGCAGGTAGCACAGGTGGTTAATTCCACATATTTGTCTGTGAACCATAGTTGTGATATAGAAATATTAGCAATAAACAGTGGCTACATTTTATACAAGGCCCCAATGAATGTAAGTCAGGAGTTACTGTAGGTGATCATGAAGTGTATAGATGTTGCCCAGATATTATCAACAAGAAAAGTGGCTCCCACACTTTTTTATTCCCACACTGCTTTATTCAATCCAGGATAAAACTGACACTCATGTTTCCATGCACGGAGCATCGGTTTTATCCTGGATTGAATGAAGAAAATTCATGTTTCCTAATTGTGGGAGCCGCTTTTCTTGTTTATATTGAAGTCACAGATGATGGGAGCACTGCATACTTGCACAACAGATTATGCCTTAATGGGTTAAAGCGGTGGTGGGGTTTTTTTGTGTATTGGGTTGTCCAGATATTATATAATTGATATATAATGATGTTGCTGTTTCTCTAGGCCTCTTCCTGGAGAAGCTTGCACGACTAGACCTGAAGTTTAGACATGCAGCTTGCCCTGCCTGCATGAAAAGAAAATGGATGCTGGATGGAGTCCCAGAGGAGGATCCTACAGAGGTGTCTGCATGGCTTTAATGCTTGAATCTCATGAGCAGTAGCCAGTTTACTTATCCTAGAGAAAAAAATTGTAGCTTCCCATGTTTTTTGCTTGAGGTTGCTAGATACTGAAGTGTTGATCCTTACATGATGGTTCTTTCCTGTACAGCAGTGTGTGGAGACCTGGAGTCCTGTATGAGGTCAATGAGTACCTGAAATCGTCTCCCTCTTCTGTGATGCAGTGAGAAATAAATGACAGTTTTTAATTCATATAGTACATATTTTATTTATTCTTAAACGAATGGTACCAATTTTTACAAACCTCCAACACATGCCAATGACTCATTCCTGGGTAAATACTAACCCACCCTGTCTCTGGGGGGTACTTCAGATGAACCTAGGGGTCAGGGGGTGCTACAGTAGAATATATTAGGACTAACATCCTGGGGACTCTATAACATCTAGTAAGTAATCTATAAATTGTTTCTTGCATTTTGGAATGAATGATGGAAGCATGGGTACTAGTCATTTAAGGTTAGTGGTTCTCGAAACTCTGACAAAACACACTTAAACCCCTTTTTTATCCATGAAATATTTAAGATCGGAGGGTGAATGGATATTGTGTGTGACAAGCTGTTGGTGGCCAACGGGGTGGTACATAAAGACTCAAATGGGATAGGGGAATCTTATGACCATCAAACCAGTGAATACAAACTGATGTGTTTGCCATTGCCTCCTCCACACTTCCATGGGAAATGTCCCATATGCCTCCCTGAGATCCCCTAAGGGTGTGACAAGATTTTTTTTTTTAATAAGTCCAAGAAGAGAGATCTGAGCTGGGAGAAGTATGTTGGCAGCATTTGCTTACCTATTTCTGAAAATTCTAGGTGGCCTTCAACTTCAGTATTTTGAGTCACAGACATGGCAAAAGTAGATTGCAAGTGAGAATACAAGTCCTAGCCTATATGCTTGTTTTGGACCACTCAAAGCAAAGAAGCCAGGAGAAATGCCAGCTCCAGCTTTTGACAAATGATGCTTGGATATCATATAGGCCACAGGGATAGTTTGAGGATGAGGAAGAGAATCTGGTACTTTATGCTGCGAAGGTATACTTATAAACTGTACATTTGTTTTGCATGACCTCCTAACTATGCTGATCACATTTTCATCACCCCGGTGTTGATCCCTAATGAAAAGTAATATTTTTTAATTATCAAATCACTCCCTAAACTGCCATTGCCTCTGTCTGGTAAATTGTTCTTTAAACTATCATTACATCACAAAGAGCCAACATGCTCGTTAATCCAGTATTTATTTAAATTAGTTTAATCTGTTCTTGCAAGTCCTGTCTAAATGAACTTGCAGATGAATAATAATGTATTCAAATTAATTAATGTTCTTTTTTTAATATACAAAACACGGGCAAGATAAAGAGACACTATCTCTCCTAATTTATTTGTTTACCATACCTAAAAGCTGAAATAAGACATGGGACCAGATTAATTAAATAATGCAGTAGGGTGCAATGGTTGAGCAAGTGCTAAAATATGAAACAGACCAGAAAAATACTGTATTTATAGTTGGACTAATGGTTCCTTGCATCTTCAATTTCTTAATGCCCTTCCTAATCGGATTGTATTTACTAATCTACTGATCAATTAATTTATCTTTATACAGCTGATTGCTGTTTGAATTGTAGCATGACCTTTCTCCAAGATCAGCTTTTCTATAATCGGCAAATTCTTTTATATAGGAATTTTCCTGTAGTCTGCATATCTGCAGGATCACAGGTTCTCTATGTACCCCATCTTCAGTAACACCTCTGGGGTCAAAATTTACCACTGTATCATTTGGCTGTGAGGAAAAAGAGAAATACTATGAACCTACACAAATATCTCTTAGGATCAGTTGACACACATGAGACCCCTAAGATGGTGCAGGTTCCCATCACTGACTCCAACCCTGCTCGTTCTGAGAAGGCAAAGCAACATCTCCTACTTCTTCTGTGAACTGCGTTTTCTGCAAAGGACAAAGAGGACCTATGGTTCTACATCATGAATCTTCTCACATGTGAGGATATTTCCTTCCTAGCTGAGAGAATAAAAGAAGACCTGCTCCTCTGTCATCTGGAAAGCTCAGAAAGGTGTGGGAGCCCTAACACAGGGTGCGGCACACTTAGAGAACACTATCACTGATCACTCCTTTAGGCAGCCATGCCTCTACTGTATGTAAATTGCATTGAGTACCCAACTTGAGGACTTGAAAAATAGGTACAGGTAAAATAACGTTAATAGGTATATTCAGACTCTTACTAGATAAACTGAAGGATCATGAGATCACAATTGACCAAACTTAGAGAGCCCTTTGCCAACAAATATTTTAAATGATTTTCATTGGGATATTATCTGCCACATTCTTTATTACCAGGACAAAAAGGGTATCTTTTGTGTAACTCATTGCTAAATCCTCTTGAACTTTGATGGTGCTGACCTCCAAATATTTGCAGACTTATCTTTCATTACATTTTTATGTCAAAGAGCTAGGAAACCTTTCCTAAATTTTGTGCACCAACATAATGCCACTTACTGATTAGGGTTCCTTCTTTTTCCTTTCCAAACTCTATTTAGAGCAATACCACCTCTTAGGCCCCATTCATACCTCGTTTACCTAGTTTAGTAGCTTAAAGCACAAAGCTCCTAAACATTCGACAATTCAAATCCTTTGTTGGAGCTTGATGTCCGTTGTTCTTTGAGGCAAAGACATTCATTGTCTTAATGCTTGGCCACCCTGTGAATGTATCCCCAAGGACCCCCATTATAAGAGCAGGGGAAAAATAAACCAGGCCTGGGTAGAAATTTCATCCCAAATTCTGTATGATTGGTGCAACTACACTGCCTCCCAGAAACAAGAAAAAGGTAAAAACTTATATCTGTGTACAACAGCCATGTTATGTATGCATCCGCTATGTTCATATTTAGATGGTTGTAAACCTGCCTAGAACTTTTGTGCAATATCGCAGCAACAATTTTTTGCAGATACGTGAGCCAGCCATTATATGTATTTCCCTACTATGTTTATATTCAACTTGGAAATCTGCCTAGAATTTTTGTGCAACATTGCAACAGTTTTTTTTTTTTGCAGACATGTGAGCCAGCTATGTTATGTCTTGTTCAAGTTGTTGCAAATTTGCTTTAAACCTTTTGTGCAACAGCATTATTTTTTCAGATGCGTGAGCTAATAAGATGTGCATGATGGAAAAATGTAGTTTGTTTCGGTTTCATTTAGTAAATCAACCACATAGTGTCACAGGAAGTTAGGTGACATGTCTGCAGTGCTGGTGGAAAGGGTACAGGCTCTGGGTACCCACCCAAAAGTGCTGCATCCATTGTTGCAGAGCATCTAATGTGAGGTGTGTATAATGAGGAAGTGACACCAGGGGTGGACTGACAACTCATGGGGCCCCCGGGCAACAGGGGATCATGGGGCCTCTGTGTCCTTGCCCAAACTCAAAAAAGCCTATGAAAAAGGTACCAGGGGCATCTCATGGGGCCCCCTACTGACTCCTGGCCCTCGGGCAGTGCCCGAATTTCCAATTGGTCAGTCCGCCCCTGAGTCACATACACACAAAGGGTTAACTGTACAAGTAAAGTATGTTTGTTTATAATTCAGAGTCCTGCCTTAACAATGATTTTATGTGTCAGCGGCCTCTGCCTGTAGGTACAGGCATTAGCAAGCATTACTGGCCCGTTCCCCCTCTTTGGGCATATTAAGCCCCACCCACAACCTTTCTCATTTTCCTTTTACAAGACATCTAATGGAAACACATTGTTTGACTTCCTTGAGACACAAAATTGGAATTTGCACTCACTCACCGCAAACAATAAGGAAAACATTGGTAACTTTGTACTATGCTTAAGCCACTGGTTCCCAGAACTATAACTTCTCAACATGTCATACCTATGTTACAACATTATCGGTGATCTGAGCACAAGGTATGATAAGATGCAGCCTGCAGTATCTGTATCAAAGAGCAGAGTACAAAACACCTATTGCTCACTTGCATACTGAGATTTAAGTGGTTCTAAAGGCTCAAGGTTTTTTATCTTCATGCAACTTCTGTGTGCAGCATCCCCCCAGCCCCCCTAATACTCCACTAAGCCCCTCTCGGTTCAGCGATGTGCAGTGGAGTCTCGGAAATCCTGGGACTCCCTCTTCTCATTGACTGAGACAGAAGTGGGAGCCATTGGCTTCCACTGCTGTCAATCACAGCCAGTAAGCCAATGAGAAGACAGAGAGGGCAGAGCCAAACCACGGCTCCGTGTGTGAATGGACACATGGAACAGTGGGTGCCCCTACAATAAGCTGCTTGCTGTGGGGGCACCCAACAGGAGGTAGGGGCCAAGAGAGCCTGGCAAGGACCCAAGAAGAAGAGGACATGGGCTTCTCTGTGCAAAATCACTGCACACACAGCAAGTAAGTATAGACATGTTTGTTATTGTTTCTTAAAAAAAAATAAACCTTTAGAATCACTTTAAAGTGAGCTTGTTGGTATTTTTCTCCTGAAGTCATAGTTGCATTCTAGTAATAGCACAGCTGTGAAGTTTATTCATTTAATTGCTATGCCTACAATGCATTTTGCCATGTATCATTTTTACTGAAATCTTTAATAAAAATTTTCAATTAAAAAATACATATATGTTACCTTGTTCTGAATAGTTATTTTGAGTTTAGTATAATGCCAGTTGCTATACATGGCGTATACTGGAGAACAATTAATATTTACATATTTCTTTGTATGACAGTATTAGTGCATTTCAATTTAAGTTTGTTTACAGCTATACATGACCTCTTACTACAGTAATTTTCTTGGCTATACTGTATGTTTTTGTATAAATGTATTATTAAAGCAATATCTGAATCGGTTTATGCTATACTTAGCTGTCACTTTAGGGCTTGCTCCCACCAGATGATTTCAGGTGTAATTTTTAAACACATCCAGAATGCATGCACAGTATCAGTGTGTTTCATCCTAGTTTTCACCCCTGGATTCAGTTCCAGTGCTTTAAAAAAACAAGTACAGTAGAAAGCATTTTTTTGCACCGAAACATGTGTAAATCCACATAAATGTAGAAGAAAGCACATAAACATGACAGAGATCCTTAGTGTTCTAAAGATTCTCCACACGAATGCACACAAACAATGAAGAAGCCTGAGGAAGACGCAAGTGGCCTCAAAGGAAATGCTAGCATACTTCTTAAAAATAATGATTTTTCAAGTGTAAAAAAGAAAACAAATGCATTAATTGCATTACAAACACATTAAACACATGCATGTGGAAGTACACATTAAACACAGGGATTTTGGTGTGAACTAGCCCTTAAAGTGGTTCTGTAGCAACAGCATAAAATTTAAAGTTATGCTAATGGTTCAGCTCACCACCCCCTACCATTGCTCCTGGCTCCTCCCCCCTGCTCAATGCCCCCATAGCAAGCTGATTTGCTCTGAAGGCACTCATGCATGCTTGCTCCTGAGCCACCTCTGTGTTACTATAAGCACCACTCAGCCCCGTTCCACCCCCCACCCCCGGCCCCAACCTCACTGGCTATGATTTACAACAGCCGGTGGCTCCCACTGCTGTGTCTGAGCCAATGAGGAGGGAGAGACTGAATGGAGCTGATGCTCTCATGCACATCGCTGGATTGAGATTGGGCTCAGGTACGTATTAGGGAGACTGGGAGGGAAGCTTCACACTGAATGTTTTTTACCTTCTTGCATAGAATACATGAAGGTAAAAAAAAACTTTCAACCTCTAGAACCACTTTAATTTTACAACTTCAGGATTGTAATAACAATACAAACAATAGTTGTGTTGGAGAATATAACATATACTTACTTGAATAATCTCCTTTCAAGTTGTGGGTGCTGCCTGTCTCCTGGCCATCACTTTCAACAATGTCTTGGATTCTTTGCATGCTTTGGAGCTTCTCCTCTGCTGTTTATGGCTAAGGACTACATATCCCATGGTACCTTGCTGTCTGCAAGCAGTGATTCCTGTACTGACTCTGCCTCCTGAAACTCCTCCTCTCAGTACCTCTGTAGTTCAGAAGGCAGGCTCTGTGAATTCTGTGATGCAGCAGTGCATATTCACAGGGCATTGTGAATGTGTCCCAGAATTCATAGAAGTAAACTTGTGGGATGCTTAACAAAGTAAGCTTCATGACTGTGGTCATCTTCACTTCCCCAATAACCACAACCCACCTCGAATGACCTTATGCCCCGATACCAAATGACACACAGTTTTTACATTGGATGATATTTTATGTAAATGTAGATATCGGCCACAGCTTAAAAAATAACACACCATAGACATTAATGTCCAAAACATACAAATACCAAATAACAATCCCTTTTTTGGCTGATCTGAGATTTTACCAAAACTGCTAAATTCTACCAAAATCATACAAACTTTTTTTTTATGGCTAAAGCCAATACTGCACCCAACCACTTTTTCCAGTTTGGGAGCTTACCAGGGTTTTACTTATTCCAAAACCTGCAATAAATGTTAACACATAACTGACATATATGAAAAGACCATTTTTTGCTCTGATTCTAGCTTTCAGCAATAACCTCCGAGCTGGGCCACTCCGCCAGACTTTTTACTGCTATCTCAGTCAGCCGAGGGACAATACTGGCTGTGAGAATAATGCCAACTACAAGAAATGAAAAATGCGCACACAGTACACATACAATGAAAAAAACATGATCATACAAACAAAGATAAATGGAAAAGTACTTTTTTGTCATTAGAATAAAATACATTCCAACAGAAACATGTACATGTACAATGCACATATAAAAAAGTGAACGAGAAATCAAACTGAACAAGAGAAGAGAAAAAGGGAAGGGCAAGTGGGGACCTTTTGCTTGCTGCTTGAAAGAGGGACTGAGGTCATTTCCGTTAGTTTCAGTGGAATCACAGCTGCGATCCACCCCGTCTCTTTTAATAGGACACAATGGTCTGTCTGCTATCCCCCCACTATCATGTCATGATGTTTCCTAAAGGCACAGCATGATCCTAGATTATTCAGAGAATTAGGCTAGACATAATTGCAATCAATGTGAAAATGAATATAATGATATATTAACCATAGATACACTTTAATCCAGGTTTTGTCACAGGTCAAAGGGTATGTAATAATGTCACACTATCTTGCTGTGAGTAGTTTATTGGGCCTTTATACCACAGTTCAGGGTCTTCATTCACCCCATATCTGCTAAATATATATTTTATTTTAACAGAGGCCCTAGAGAATAAAATGGTGGATGTTGCATATTCTTATATCACAAGATATTTGCGCAGCGGTTTTTCAAAAGCAAATTTTTTAGAAAAAATACACTTTAATTAAATTTAATGCACAGAAACACAATACCATACCCAATTGTTTGGCAAAATATAAATGATGATGTTACTCTGAGTAAATAGATATCTAACATGTCATGCTTTAAAATTTAGTGAGCCCGTGGTACTGCGCCAAACTATGTTACCTAAAAATCTCCATTGGCAACAATTTAAAAGCCTTTGCAGGTTACCAGTTCAGAGTTACAAAGGAGGTGTGGTGCTAGGATTATTGCTCTCTCTATAATATTCAAAGCACGACCTTACATATGTATGTGGGACCTACAAGCATATTTGCATTTTGCACATGAACACAGGGGGAAAATTTTTTTGTACCTTTATTTTTTTTTTTATCAACTTTATTGCTATAACAAGGGACAAGAAACATCACTTGTGATAGCATGGCCCATGACAGGTCCTGTTTTTGGAGATATCTGGGGTCGTTTGGGTCTCCTCTGGCTTCAAAAGACTCTGATCAAACCAACTTTGATAAATGCTTTCACAAGCTGCTAACAGATTGTTTACATGCGACTGGAAGTGAGAAAATCCTTGTTGCTTCACATAGTGGGAGGAAGAACATCAGTATTTCTCACTGCGCCCCAGGAAGTGGATGCCACCAGACTCTTTCTTACCCCAATTGGACAGCCCGATAAAAGCAGCAGTGGCAAGAAGGAGGACCCCCCCCCCTTCCTCCTCCTGTAAAAGTGATCCAGCAGCTCTCTAACTGCTCTAATCACTTTTAAATTGTATGGAATTGCTAACTGACATAAATTAATACTGTAATCATGGTTGTAGCCTCAACCATGATCCTGGTATAATCCCAGTATAACAACGCATATACGTTGAGGGGAAGTGGTTAAGACTTACACCAGGACCTAGCATATGGTGTAGTTGATTTGATAAAAAATTAGAGATTGTTCACTTAGCAATGTGAATGTTCACTTTGGAAAGTGAATGTTTATTTAGATTAGTAAATAAGGTGATCATATGTTCACTCCAATCATTCAATCACTTGCAAATACACATGCTGTTTTATTTTCATTTCCCTTGTACATCATTGTGTATTCAAACTGTTCATAGCTTCACCTCATTTACTAAGTGAACATTCACTTTGCTAAGCGAACAGCTCTAATCCCAAAAATAAGCCCCAGTGTACTGTAATACCCCCTGTTAGTATAACTTGAAAAAGTTCCTTTAAGCTCATAAGATACTTAACATTATGCATTTATATTTTATTAT